TTCTCCTTAGAACCTTGTGAAGGAGGTTACACTGAGAAACGGCACCTGCCCAAGATTACTTGTGAGCTTTCTGGTTTTGCTCTGCACCTTGGTCACCCATAGTCAAACAGACAATGAATCTCAAAGGCAATGAATCTCAATGAATGTCCAAAGGCAAAGTGTATGTCTATTCCAGCTGTTTTCCTAAGAACAGCGGGTTCAGTCATTGATCTAGGTCTCCACTGTCATACTGGAGAATCCCCTTCAAGTATCTCGTTCCCTCTAAATGTTCTCACAACATCTGGAAAGCTATTATAAGGGGAAATACCCATAACAAGCTTGCAGGGTAAACTGGCAAGCTAGATTTCTTACTCAAAGGCAGATGCATGTTCCTGATCTAGCCTATCATTCTGTACTCTTAAGGTAGCGATGATAAACTTGCTTGGTCTGTGGGTGGTGGTTAGTCCCTGGCCAAGCTGGAGGATCCAGCCCATAGTCTGAAGATAATGGATGGATAATTGCCCTTCCCAGCACCAAAGAAGAGAGGATGTCCCCAAGGAACAAATCAGAAGTGGTGCTTCAAATGCTGCTGTTGGCCCAGGCAACATGGCTTTAGGAGGATTTGTTCAGGAAATGGCGCTGCTGGGCTGACTGCTGCATGCAAGTCATTGTTTCTGGCCAGCCAGCAGTTCTTCAGCCTTCCAGCATTTGTTGACAAGACATCCAAATGTGTCTCTGCAGAACCCCTGGAGAGTCTCAAGCTATTTAAGCCTCTCCAATGCTTGAGGGGGCTTAAAAAATAATAAAACAGTAAAGCATACTTAAGTATAGGAATGCCAAACAATAATTAAAAATATACTCAGCAGCAGCAAAACAGAATCTCAGTATACACTTAGCAGCCTTTTGGAAGTCTTATAGCATTGGAAAACCAGCACCAGAGAGTACCAGGAAGGCTGAACATTACTACCCAGATAGAAGAGGGACTTTGTGTAGTTCTTGGCCCCTGCAGTTCTGCTTCCCAAGCAAGTCTTATGGAAGCAACACTGCCTGGGTCAAGAATGAAGAAGAGAATGGGGGCAGAGAGAAGCAGTTGGGAATCGAAGGCAGCCTGTAGGTCTCCAGTTGCCTTGAAGGAAAATTGTTTGTGTAGTGTATGTCCCCCTACCATAGATCAGCTTTAAGGAAAGATTCTGTGCTGCCAATACATTTATTTGTAAGCTCCTAAAGCCTCCCACAAAATAGCAGACAGGATGCTTACGTGTGTTTCTTGTTGAACAATATTGGTATTACCTTTAACATCCTGCTTTTCTCCCCAGTGAGGACCCAAAGCAGCTTATCACATCATTCTCCCCTCCTCCACTTTATTCTCGCAACAAGACCCTGTGAGGCAGGTTAAACTGAGAGAGTACAACAAGCCCAGGGTCATCTGGCAAGCCTCCATGACAGAGCAGAGTTCGGAACCCAGTCACCCCAGGTCCTAGCACAACACTCTAGCCACTCTGCAATGGCCACTCTCAAAAAGCTGTCTGTTCTCTTGTCTAAGAACTTGGATTCCAACCCCACAGTTTCATCATGGTTTGTAGGCTACTGAACAAATCACAGTTTGTCATTCTGTCCGACTTGGATGTAATGACACTGTGGTTTGCTGGAAACCAGAAAGTTTTCAGTATTTGAGCCACATGTAAGAGGAGAGGGAGTAAGTCTGAAAACTTCCAAGACTCATTATGTTGAAGTGGGAGACAAACAATTACAACACTAAGTAAAAAACTTACATCCTCATTTGTTGTTTGATTGGAGCTGATCAAATAAGTATGAAAACCTGAGAGTCCAACAATGGACCATACGGAGAAGAAACACACCACAGCTTCCAGCACAGTGACTGAAAGTCAAGGAATATTTAACGAAGGCTGTGATTGCCATTAATACATCACAGGACAGGTTTAATAATGGTTCTTGGTCATGGATGTCAAAATGGAAGCCTCATGTCCACAAGTAGTAGAGACAAACAACTTGGGATAGGCATCATCATGCTGTGTTTGTGAACATGAAGAGTCCTCTTTAGAAGTGACAGCACGCTGCAATCCTGTGCAGAGTCAAACAGCTAAGACTGGAGTAACTCTGCACAGGATTGCATTGGAGGTGGTCTTTGCTCTGGTCTATCAAGGCATTTCTTATGTTCTTGTGTGCAGAAATACGTCCGCATTTAGTTCTAGATCAAAAAAGTAACTCATGCAGGTAAAAAAAAAGACGCAAAAGATATAATGGGGGTTACATGGCTTATTTGAAGCCATGCTCCAATTTAGTAGGCAAAGGCAGCACTAGAACAGCAGCAACAATTGCTACTTCACAATGTTACAGAATGTCTAGGGCAGGGGTCCCCAACACAAGTGCCTATGAGTGTCAGGGTGCCCGCTGACACCTATTCTGCCATGCCAAATGTTTTTAGAAAGTGGGCAGGGCCAGGTGGGGCTGTTGACCAGCAAGGCTTCTGACTGGCCACACAGACTTTTAGAAACTTTGCGTTGGCAGCAACGGCCACCACAGCACAAGGATCTTCGCTGTGTGACTGAAGGTAAGCTGATGCAACCATTTTGTGACTGGTTCCACCTCCTGCGGCAGCCATTTTTGTGGCAGCTATTTTGTGGCTGCAGTCACCACGCTGTGTAAGAATCCCAAATGTGCCCACAGGTTCAAATAGGTTGGGGGGCCCTGTTCTAGGGAGAGAGAGGGTGACAGTTATAAACAGCCTTGTCAAGGAATTAAAATATATTTGCACAGGGACAGAAAAACTCTTTTATCATCACATTTATCATCACGTTACGGACTGCAGAGAAAAACATTGCCTCCAGTAAACAGTTTTTACAATATGGTTACAATTATTACCTCTGTATATTTTCTCATGAGAAATAATAAAGCTGAAATACAGAGGTTAAACATTCCCCGTCTTTACAGACTGAATATAAACATTGTATCATTCAATCACTATGTTTTTATATTAACCAGAAGATGCATATGAGCAGAGAGAATTCTGGTATGGCGTTGACATTTTCTGGATGTTCTCTGTGCATTCCAGGCCCCAGCCTTAGAAAGTTAGGGAATGGAATGAATGGATGGATGAAAATCAGAGTATAAGATCTTGCCTGGGACTTTGACATGGGGTTTTACTGTGATGCCGTCCCCTCACCTTTTATCTGTGGTGCTGTCATATTTCCATGAATCCCATTCGAGAATATGGTTTGCAATCCTAATGTCAAGACTAGGTGTGACCATGTCCATAGGTCTCACTCGTGGAGGTCACCACTATTTTAAAGGGTGTTTTCCGGATGTTGGTGGGGAATGGAATGAATGGATGAAAGTCAGATTTAAAAATGCCACCTGCAGTGTGGGAGGCTGAGGCTCTCCCTTGCCCCAAAGCTTTTCAAGAGCTGAAATAGCTGTAACACCCCCCCCCCCGGTCATTTCAGAGAGAATAATGCCTCAGCCCACTATGCTGCAGACCTGATTAGGACTGGGCCCTCATAGCATTTTAAAATCCCTTTAAAATAGTGGTGGCATCAACAGGTTGGACCCATACATGCTGTCACATCTAGTTTGGCCCTAAGCATCCAAAGGAACGGTTTTACTTGGAAGCAAGAATAAGGCTACTACAACAGAGACAAAGCACAGTGTTTGTCTTTTAAGGTCTTTCAGATGTTTGTAAACTGGCCAGATAACAATCTTAAGTGCGTGTTTATTAGGCTGATGAACTGTATGTTCAGCTAAGGCACCAGAACTACAACCACTGCCCCATCTCCCACTACCTAACATGCCAATCTGGAACCACTGTTAAGTGAGCAGGGGAGGAGGAAAGAAGTAAAATGGAGTGTGTGGTACAACAGTTTTGGTGCCACTATGAATACATACGGCAACCATTTACACGGGGAAGAGAAACCAGAACAAACATAAGAATTCCAAAGAAAGAAGGATGCAAGCAAGAACTTGAAATTGGCAACACGAAAAGAGTATGCCTCTGAAAATGACATTCTCCTTTGCATAAACCCTTCTCTGGTGAGAAGAGCACAAAGCACAATATAGATTCAAAATTCCCAGCAAAATTCCTCTTTCGTTTCCAGAGCATGGAATGACATTCTTTCCTCTGAGTTCAACTCATGGGTCAAACATTTTATATTTATATTGGATGACACTTTGGCTTGAAAAGCCTACTGTTATGAGCTTGGAGTTCTCTACTATGAAAAATTGGAGCTCATGACAAAAGGAAGGGTGATGTCATAAGATTTGTAGGTATATCTTCAATGGGCCTTAGGTATTAGCAAATGGTTCTATAAAAGCACCCATCAGGGCTTGGAGACAGACACTGCTATGAATTGGCTAAAGCTGCTTAGGTGTACAGCCAGGATAGAAGGAGAATTTGGCAAAATTGCCCCCTCCTCCCTGCCACCATCCATGCTATGGAAAACTGTGTAGCAACTGAAAATAATGTTTATTTTCCATTCATAGCATGGGGCTATGTTGCTTCAAATCAGAATTCCTTCTAATGATGCGATTTTATTCTGTATTATTAGCAAAACAGCAACCAAACCATTCAGCTATCCAACACATATTCAAATAGATTCTCCTCCCCCCAATATACTTTTCTTTTCCCAACTGTTATGCCCTTCAATGCAAATTACAAATAAATGGCTGATTGTTCCTGTAGAATAATCCACAAGTGTGGAATCAATTACCTTTTGATTTTAGGACAATGGAAAGGCTCTTTCATTTTCAGAGAGCTGAAAATCCTAATACATGATTAGAAGTGATTGTAATTCTTTTAATTAGAGGCTATTGTGTTATTTAGGAACATAGTGTGTTAACATAAGCCCTTCAAACAGAGAAGTGCTTGTTTATTAGCACATCTGTACCAATGAATGCACAAATAAGTGAACATGGTAGAAGTTATGCCTACAGACATTCTGTTTTTAAAGGGCCTGGGTTGCTTGCTACTCAAGCTATTATTTATGTTCAACTCCCGTTAATACCACTGGCACCTAGATACAGACTACTTTGAGCAGGATTATAGTTTCAGCATTTGCAAATGCACTTATCACTAGAGAAAAGAAGAGCTCCAAATTTCACAAGACTGCTTGGCGTTGGCTTTTTCTTGTTCTCATATGCTGTAGCCTGGAGTGCACTGGAAATCCACTTAAAATCTCAGCCAATTCCCACGTTAATCTCTGCTAGTCAAAACACAGTATGTTCAGCACAGAGAAGGTGAGGGGGATAGGGAAGAACAGCTACATAGAAATAGAAAAGGAAAGCTACAATAGCTCCAAGCTTCCATAATAATAGCTACCAGGGGTGTGCATTCGGCTATATTGGAGCCGAAAAAGTAGTCGCTATTCTTTCCGCCGGATATAGATCTGGGATTTTTGGGGACCACTGGATAGCCAAAGTCACAGCTGATTGAGTTTCAGAGTCATTCCAAAAAGCAAGTTACACCCTTCTAAGCCCATCAACTTCAATGAACTTAGAAGAAAGTAACTGAATTGCACTGTTCATACCAAAGGCTGAAGTTGAACTTGGGGGCCCCTGAAGCTCATTTTCCTATCCACTATATTACATAGTTATCAAGTTCCTTTAAAATTAATGCAACATTGTGAATGCAATGCATTTCAGTAAAAGGATATCTTGCAGGACTGTCCTTGAGTGCACTTAAGAACCCTGTTTTCTGAGATCCTGTGGGGAAAAATATAAAAATTAAATGATAATATATCCTCGTGGGAAAAAACCTCAAAATCAGATTTTCAGAAAATTTGAGTGCATGTTGTTAAATGTAATCTTGAAATGATGTTAAAACTACTCAGCAAAAAATGGAAGAAAAATGGAAGTATCAGAGTTAACATATGCTGATACTTTCTCAGTAATACCAGTTGATGTCTGCATAGTTTCCGATAAATAAGACTTCTGATTAGCCTTCTGTTCTTTTCTGTCCTAATATGGAAAGAAAATATTGCAAGCTGATTTTTCCATGAAATGTGTTCATGAACCTCCTTTTCTCACAAAAAAAATTGTTTCTGTTGGATCAGGAAATCCTGCCAATTATACCATAATGTGATTCGAATTCCAAGCTATTTACAACATCCACTGAATACAGTTGAAAGAAGATAATCTGAGGAGCCAGCACTGAATCCCTAACTGATAGATCTAGGCTCTGTCCCTGTGGAGCCTGAATTCCTGAGGTGTGGTTCAGTAGCCAGCTCTGGAAAAGCAGAAGTCCTCCCCCCACAGTAGATATTACCAAGGAAGTACACTGAAGAGATTGGTTGCAAACATGTCACTCTGATATATTATTACATATTTTATTATTTCATTTTTTATTTTACTCTTTCTGTAAGGAACTTAGGATACATCATTCTCCTTTTCTCCCTTTATCCTAACAACAGCCATGACAGCTAGGTTATGCCAAAACACAATGATTTATATAAGATCACCCAGTAGGGCTGCCAGCTCCAGATTGGGAAATACCTGGGGATTTCAGGGGTGGAGCCTGAGGAGGGAGAGGTTTGGGGAGGGGAGGGACTTCAATACTATATAATGCCATAGATTCCACCTTCTAAAGTGGCCATTTCTTCCAGGTAAACTGATCTCTGTCACCCGGAGATCAACTGTAATAGCAGGAGATCCCCAGCCACCACCTGGAGATTGGCAACCCTATCATCCAGGGAGCTTCCGAGCTGAATGGGGGCTCCCTGACCTCAGTCTAGCTCCCTAACCATTATACCACACTGGCTCTCAGTGTGGGCCATAGTATCTGGGAAGGCTGCAAGCAGACATGACAAGTTCAAACTTAAATCACGGAGTGCAGGTATCCTTTTGATATAGAATAAAACGATATGTTCAGTGTAACAGACATAGAAGAGTGCCACACCTCCAAATCTGAAGTTAGAGAGCTGAGACTTAATAATGTGTAAGAGTGCACCAGCACAAATGTTGTTTCTCCCTCATATGCAATGGTGTTCGGTGTCTTTTCTTGGAAAATTCTGTTTGTATCCCTGCAGCTAAAGCAGCTCCACTACATCCATATGGGATCATTCCCTATCAAAGCCATAGGAGTAATCCTATAGCCCAGTGATGGCGAACCTTTTAGAGACCGAGTGCCCAAACTGCGACCCAAAATCCACTTATTTATCGCAAAGTGCCAACATGGCAATTTAACCTGAATACTGAGGTTTTACTTTAGAAAAACAACTCATACATTAACTTAAGATGATCCAAACAAAGTAAGGAAAGTAATCCCAAATGCTTTCATTTACTTAAAATTATTTGGCAGAGAATTTGACACTTTAATGATGGTCTGGGCCTGGCTGGGGCAATGGCATGTGTGCCCACAGAGAGGGCTCTGAGTGCCACCTCTGGCACCCGTGTCATAGGTTCGCCACCACTGCTATAGCCTGTATGCTCTGATGTAACACAAAAGAAATGCAGTGAACTGAAGAAATAAGCTCCCAGAGATACATGTCAATGCATTTGAGACTCATAATATCCTTGGTATGTTACATTTTATACATACTATATTTCCATAACAGAAAATACTTCACTTTTTACTCTAATGGGGGGGGGGGAGAGGATTAAAGAGTAAAAATGTAACCGTGCTCTCAAACTGTGGGCTATCCTTCTGTGGGGCACAGCACACCCGGGATATAGTTTGAGAGCAAAATTCCAGGAAGAGACAGGCTCTTGAGGCAAATGGAGCCATTTTCCTTACAGCAGTCATGATGACACAGGTTGGTTGAATGCCTCCTAGTAAAGGACTCTCACTGATCCATACTGGGTTTGTGGTGTGACTGCTCTTTCACTGTCACCACCACCCCAATCTGATTTGTGAAGAGGTACTGATTTGTTTTAATGATGTTTCCTGGATCTAGATTTTGGAGGGGATAGAGATATCTTGTTATATTCTTCTTCTAATATCAACATTTGGATTAGTACACCAACCTCCAGATCCTTGAGCAAAACTATGCTTATATTACTGTGGGCAAGATTTCCAGATACTTGCTTGTACAATGAATGGTACTGAGCTAGGTCTAGAAGGCATTAGAGGTGTAGAAGAGGTCCTAAAAGCTATAAGAAACACTATATCCACAATTCTAAAGACACTTTCCTAGGAGTAAGCCCATGACTTATTTCTGAGTAGACCTGCCTAGGCTTGTCTCTTAACTATTGGCTACAATTAACAACTTGAGAACATCTTGTTATCTGCAACCATATCCATACAACAGAGAAGAGCTCAATAAGCATTTGTCATAAACCCTTACTATATGAACTTCTAAAATGGGCATGTAATTTACGAAAAAAATCCAACATGCTATATGAACTAAACAACTGGGAGAATGTCCAAGGCACAGTGTGGTGGAATATGCTACGGCTTTAGTTATGCATGTGATACCAAACTGCAGTCCCTGAAGAGGCACTGTGTACAGATGTACATGTGCCAACATTAAAAGAAGGGAGAGAAATCTCAGAAAAACAAATGGGCTTCTCCAAATGCTTGCCAAAACATCTTGTAGGTAGCCAGCTGCCTTAAACTGGGGTCAAATATACTTTCAGTAAATGGGGACAGGATCCCAGGAACTATGAGAATCTAAGGAAGATATCAAAATGTTCTTGAAACTAAGAAGAGATTCAAAAGCAGGTGTTATAAAGCATGAGGGTCAAGTAGTAAATGAAAAAATAAAAAAAGACTGACCAGGCTAGGTTCTTGAACCCAAGCAGCAGCTCTGTAGATACTGGTCCTTATTTTTGGAATAACAAGAAGTAAACAATCTAATTTAGGTACTAAATTCAGTAGAAAGGTGGAATATAAATACTCTAAATAAAATATATTCTTAGAGTAACTGAAAGAGCTTGTACTTGGTCTCCTATGCTTAATATTAGAAAAACACTTTTCTGAAAGTAAACGTTATTGATTAGACTTGATTAAGATTCTAAGTTGATCTGTTTAGGATTGCTAAATTACTCTGTCAAGCACCCAGTTTTGTGTGTGTGGTGTCTTTATTTGATTTCTGAGTTTTGAATATCTGGTGCTGCCAGTCTTGGGGGAGCAGGCTTCTCATTACAGCATGGCCTAAAAGTCTTTATAAAAATAATATGGAAACGGAGATTCCTGCCATTCAAGCAGAGCTCCTCAACTATCTCTGTAATCCTTGCCAAGGCAGAAAAAAGATCTGTGGAAGGAGAAAGGTGCCTCACATTGGTGATCATCTGCCTTCTATGTTATTCCATGAAGAAATATACATGGAAATATAGCTAAAAATGCAGGCCAAGATCTGATTATGAATAATGAGCAAGCTCTACTGATGGCCAAACCAGGCACACCATTTTGGGACTCAAGTACTGGGAAAAGAGTAAAAATATCCTGAATGATGAAAAGATTATTATTAAGAATAAAGCATCTCAAGCAAATGGGTGCATGCATCATCTGATTTTTACTTTATTTTTTCTAGCATACTTACGATGGATGACGTGGGTGATAACGAATGCAAATATAAAAACTGTCAGAAAGGACAGAGATAAAATAAACATATAAAAAAATCTGTAGTTTCTTTTCCCCACACAGTTGCCTACCCAGGGACAGTGGTGATCAAACCGTTCTGGAAAAAAACAAGATAAAAAAATGGAACACAATTAAGAAAACAGATTATTTTGAGGGAACTGTTTTGACAGTTATAGCAACTATTACTAAACTTTCTAGCTGTCAAAAAGATTTCAGTTATTTTACTGTTCATGTTGATATCTTTTCTTCGCCTGAACTGAAACACAATGATTTAATCATAGCACTCAACATGCTGCTAAATATCCCTATACTGAAATTGTTCTCATGTATAAATTTTATGTGAACTCTGTCTATAGAGTATAATATGCCATGCAAGTTTCTTGTGCATAATGCAATTGGCTGTGTCCTTTTACCATGCACCAAATGCATCTTGCCTGGAATTCAAACCATAAATTGTCTATTGACAACTCTCTACTCTCCCCTCATACAAGCTCTTTGGGGTCTACAAATGCTTCCACATTTTTCTTATTGTCAGTTTGCTTTAAATAATAGTATCAGAGTTTCCTTTTCCAGGATTCAGTGAAAAAGCCCTTGGTTTGGATCCAGTGGAGGATTTGCATGGATAGATAGGTGAGGGTATTTTGGCTGATTCTCCTCGCTGCACAATCCCCACTCATGCTGTTTGGGGGGAGGGGAGTTGTCCCCGTCCTGTCCCCCTGGAACATTTCAGGGGGCACCAGGGGCTGCAATGGGACAGGGGAAGGCAAGGAAGCAATTTTCAGTACTTTCATAGCTTTTCTTTACATATGAGTTTATATAACTGTATTTATTTCAGCAACAAAAAATTACTTAGCTGAACACACTATTGATGGGTAACAGTTCACAAAAACAAATGAGATAGCAATGAGATAGCCACTTTTGGTCATTACTGCGTATATTTCAGTTAATAAACGATAGTATTCACCATTGTACTGGCATCTCCATAACTATCATACTTTGTATTAGTACTCTGCTTAATAACCATTCCCTTCATCATTCATATATCAATGACTTCTGAGGGAAGAGGAACAGGAAAGAGGGGATTCAGTGCCATTCCCCAAAAGACTTCTAAAATGCTGGAAATTCTACTGCTACAACCTTGGTGATTTAGAATCAATTCCTTTTTATGGTAGATGTGTCATTTTCAGCTATTTCACTAAGTAAAATAGTCAAAACAAAAGCATTACCCACTAACATTAATGAAAACACATTATATTTTAATAAGTGGGGGACCTGGAAGAAAGAAGAAGACGAAGACGAAAAAGAAGAGGAGGAGGAGGAGGAGATTGGATTTATACCCCGCCCTTCACTACCCAAAGGTGTCTTAGAGTGGCTTACAAACTCCTTCCCCCCCCCACAACAGACACCCTGTGAGGTAGGTGAGGCTGAGAGAGTTCTTGACAGAAACTGCTCTTTTTTCAAGAACAGCTCTTATCAGAGCTACGGCTTGCCCAAGGTCATCCAGCCAGGTGCAAGTGGAGGAGTGGGGAATCAAACCTGGTTCTCCCAGATTAGAGTCCGCACACTTAACCACTACACCAAACTGGCTCTCTGTAAGGACTTCTGGAGGACACCTGATTTCCCCCTGTATCCCACCCACCATTCCCTCTTTCCATTCCCTGGCAGCCCCCATCGCCTCTCTTCCTGCTTCCTTTTCTCCCTCCCACCCACCAGCCAACATGCCTATACCTGCCACCACATCTTTCACTTTCCCTCCTTCTGTGCCCCTGGCAGCCCCTCCTGAGGAAAGTCTGTCTGGGCTGCATGGCAGCCTGAGCCAGGCTGTGTAGTGCCCAGGCCTAGCTGTATGGTAGCTGCTGCCAGGATGGGCTGAATTGTACAGTGGCTGCTAGTGCAGGACTGGGCACAGTTGCATAGTGGCCTCCAGCATTCAGCCAGTCCCAACTGTAGTGCCAGGTTAGAGCAGGCGCAGTTGTACAGTGGCTGCTACTAGCACCAGGCCCAGTGGCTGCTGTTGCTGAGCTCATATCTGATGAAGGGAGCTTTAACTCTTGAAAGCTTATATCCGGAGAATCTTGTTGGTCTTTAAGGTGCTACTGGAGTTGAATCTAGCTCTTCCCCAGGAAAAATCTGGCTGGGCTGCATGGTGGTTGATGCAAAGCTGGGCCAAAGTGCACAGTGGCCACAGCCATCAGACCAAGCCAAACTGTGTGGGTAGTGAGTTTCCAGTAGACACTGCTGGGCCTTCCCCCTGTGAATCCTCCTCCATCAGGAGACATAACAGTGGAGGGAGGGGTCCATTCCCAGTCCATATGCTGAGCCCCACAACAGCTTTGCTTTACAGAAACCAAGGCTTGGAAGGTTTGGCAATATTGTTGTGGTGCCTAGCAGTGCTCAACAGCCACTGAGAGTTCAGTGGACACTGTTTTCCTAAAGGTACAGGCACTGTTTCTGTTCTTTTGGGAATTTTTAATCCACTGATTTTAAAAAAGATTTTTGATATTTCTGCAGTCCTGGAACCTCCTTTAGGTTTGCAGAGAAATCCCCCCCTCCCCCAGTCTACCCCATCTCCATTTTGTGGCTCTATCGATTGTAACCTGTATGGTGTAGTTCAGAAATATACCGATACAGCCCATAGCTGTGACATTAAAATTTTTAACTTTCACACATAGCCCTTTTTCTTTCTTTTTGTTTACTAGTCTCAATACATCTATTATTGATTGTAATTAATTTATCCATCTTTCCACCCCTGTAAATGGGACAGGGAGTTGATAAAGTGGAAGCCATTTCATTTCAGTGTCACTTCAGCTCTGGACAAATGATCAAGCCCTGATCTGTAATTCTTTGCAAGAGGTTACAGTGAAAAGCAGGACCTTCTCCTTAGCTTTGGATCAGCTATCTCTGGCTGTCTTCTACAAGGGATGCAAGCAGTGTTCTCTCTAAGCTGAGTTAGTGTGAGCTCAAGAAGGATGGCTCCAGAGCAAACTAATTTATGCAGTAGCCAAATCACTCGCTCACAACTTTAGTGCCAGTAGCTCACAAAGTAGAACTTTTGCTCACAAGACTCCACAGCTTAGAGGGAGCATTGGACGCAAAACATCTATATTTCATCAGCTATTTGGGGATTTAGTAGGTTAGCAACTTGGAAGCTGTTTAATTATGTTTGTGTTGATATGACTTTACCTTAATGAACTGTTTTTAGATATTATATACTACTCTGAATGTTGGAAAAGCAGCGTATAAATAAAAATACAAACAAATATTAAGAAAACACTGAATAATTGTGCATAGTCTGAGAACTGTACTCTACCATCATTTGCAATACTACAAAGGATCCTGGTCACACTTTCTGTTATACAGGGAAGAATCATAAATAGGTCTCCTTGGAATCACATCATGTGTTATTCAATGAGTCTTACTTCTGGGGAATGTATCCTTAGGTCTGCAGCTATAATGCATTTCCCAACTGTAGCAGTCTTGGGATTTCCTTAGGTTGGCAACAGGCCTAGAGAAAAATGTTCGTCCTTCTGATACAGGCTGTTTACCAGATAATGTTAGTTATCTCCATGCCATTTACAAGCTTCAGCCACATTATGCCACTATTAAAGGGACAGGACATTTTTATGTAGGACTGTTGTCAGCTTAGCTGCCCCTACAACTGCCTATGTGATGCTTGTTGGTTCTGATGGAGCTCTGCTGGGTAGTTGTAAGATTTAGCACCTGCTCAGACACTGTGCCAAGTACGTAGAGCCAAGCTGACCTCCTCCATCTCCCCAGCCATCTAGCCCTAGCAGTTAAAATGGACTCCTGAAGATTGCAGAATTGGGAGGGTGTGCAGAATAAGCTCTTACACACTAAGCTCAATTATATTAGCAAAAGTCACTGCTGAAAAAATACAATGCCACATAAAACACAGAGGCCTTTGTGCAAAACACTGGCAGCCTGGCTAGCACCATCAAGATCGCAGACATCTGTGTTTGTTTGGCAGTGTCGCCTCTTGTGGCTCCCTTTGTACCACTATGACTTTATAATGTATGAATACATCCCTTTTGGATAGTTCTTCACTTAATTTGTATAGATATCTGTAGTGTTTCATGCCTCCATTACAATACAGTTGTTTTTTATTAATGTCTCAAACCCGAATTATGCAATATAAGTAAAGTATTTCCAAAGGATATGGAAGAAGATACATAGTGATATTAAGGAGCTTAGATTAAAGACCAGGAAGCAACCTGTAATTATGTCAATTGCCCTTGCAGGGTTTTTTTGTTTGATTTTTAAAATCTGTTAAACCCCCCCCCCCCCAACCACGCAAAAAAGAGATTCACAAACTTTGACTCACCTTGGTATCTGGCTAACATATGTGATCAAAACACAGGAAGTCTGAACTCCCGTCTCTCTCTATGAATATGCCACAAATAGTGCTCACTGAGTAAAGACATTCTTGCTACCAGTGAGCAAGGAAGTGCACTTGTGAACTCCTGGGAGAAGGCTTTCCAGCAAGAAAGCTTTGATAGGCTTCCTATACTTCATAGTTCACCTTTGAGTATAACAAGCACAAAGCCAAAAAGGGGGGGAGGGAAATCAACAGATTAACAGACTACTATGTTCCAGCTACATTTCTCTAGATGCTGATACTGTTTTATTATTTCCAGGGACAAATATTCTGATTATGATTATACAACTGTGATGGAATTGCAAGACAAAGCAGGTTTCAAAATGCTGCTTGGGACAGAGAGTCATGGAGGTTATGAGTTAATCTTCCCTGGAGAGAAGAACTTAAGTGACTGGCTGCTCTACTCACTGTCTGATTGGCCAGCATCAGCTTAGAGAGGAAATAAAACAGCTGATCTGGAGGGAAAAGACTTTATGGCCTTTTGAATCACTTTTGGTCTTGGTCTGCAATCTAACATCTGAATCAGTAGCCAGAGGGTTTAGCTTCTAAGGGAAGAGAGTTTGGGAGTCAATAATTTCTGTCACGGAATTGTCAGAAAAGTACTTCTATAGAGAAGAAGAGGGACTCCATTGTCTAAGAGAAATTAAAACTACTCTGAAGGAGAATTCAGATTCTCAGTCAAGAAAGCTACAACACTGCTT